TAAGTGTTATGGGCTGTAAATAAATCCTGTAGATTTATGACCCTTCAGTGCCTGCCAGCAAATGAATGTGGCACATTTCTTTCAGCAGACCTGTGGAGGTACAAGTTTGCTTTTGGTTGTAAAGTTAACCATTTCCTTCACAAACACACCCAATTACTAGTTGGTGGCCAACAATATTTGCCATGGCTCAGTACAAAAATGATTGTGTTAATTAAAAAAAAATAGTTTGGGAGAATGCAGACTTTCTGACTGTGCAAACAATAAAGCAGCTACCACAGCAGCAGCTAAAAGTTCTGCAGCAGCAAAAGACAAAAAGATCCCACCACAGGTAATGTGTAGACAGAACATTCTAATTCTGCCCATAACTCTAAATCAAAATTTTTAAAAATGCTCTTTTTTTTATCTGTAAGAGCTCTTTTGTTGGCAACTATATGTACTTCAACTCAAATAATGTCTATTCTGTTCTTCTTTTAAAGCTAGCAAGTATGTTTCAAGAAAGCCATGAATTGTTGTCTTGGTGTTTTTTCAACTTCTACCCCCATCCGTTCAGCAAACCCCTCTTCTCTATTTAGGGAAACATTTGTTAAATCCAGGTTGTCTCGTGCTTAACAGCCATAACCCAGCTTCCACATAACTGCCAGACAGCTGTAAATGGGGGTTGAGCAATTTTAGTCATGGTATACATCTATGCAAAAGCAAAGAAAGAGAATTCTGCAGCTGTCTTTTTTCTACTGTCTTTAAAAAAAAACAGAAAGAAAAAAAAAATAATCTTCCTAACGCATGAACCCTATAGCTCTTTAAAGTAAAACGTCAAGCTGGGCAACACAATAATCTATGTTTTAGACCAGTCTCCCCCCAAAAAGTAATATTTGAGACATGAAAATGAAAAGGTGGTTACATTTTGCCTTCATTAAACATAAAATCTAGGCTTCCACAGTCTTTCTAAGTGAGAAGCAGGATAATACATTGGTTCTCTCCAACAGTCAGACTTTAAAAAGAATTCAGACAAGAGAGGCTGAAAGGAAATTACTCATATGAAGTTTACAAAGCTATTTCTGATACAGAAGCAGCATCCTAACCATGCTAAGAACTGAGAGAGTCACAGACAATGTGCTTAATTTTACTGGTTATTTCTGCACAGTTCATTAAAACCATTAATTAAGTGAATGGTACAATTTAGTAAATAGCTTACCCCTGCCACAAAACCCCAAACTCACTGACATTTGAAAACTAGATGTAAATGGCTAACATTCAACTACCACCATCATCTTTATTTCAGAAATCAAATTTCAGCCTACAGATTAGCAGTGAACCAAACCTTCACACTTGAAACAGAATTTTGAACTATGCAAAGCTATAAATATTTCTAAAGGAGTTGAACAACAAATTAGCATAAATACCAAAGAAGGGCAGGAACACCTGTTCTTTTTTCCAGCATGATAAAACATTTTATTGTTCTCTACTTAAAATGTAATGACCTACGTAATTACAGTAATATTATATTGAACTGCAGAAGCTCAGATTGTCACACTTTTAAAAACTGTTGTCAAAACAATTCATAGCAGGAAAAAAAGGTGAAGGAATCCTATTAACTCTTTACCCCCTCGCATCTAGATTCTTGAACTGAAGATTAAGAAGGGTGATTCAGAGCATTAAAAAAGGAATTATTCAAATTTTAAATATTGAAGTATTCAGTTTTGTTAAATCACAAATAATTTCCCTGCTTTATGCTTATTGATAAAAAATTACTCTAATAAAACCTATCATAAAAACAAAATGTAGGAAAGTAATATATTAAACAAACCTTTAATGTTAATAGGAATCTATTTTGAAATATTAACATTAAAATTATTTTGGTGACCAGAATAATTCTTTCTATTTAATTGTTTATCACTAATTTCTGAAATTAAGTTTCATGTCATTAAGTTGTCATGACATCACACAAGTTCTAAATCCTTTTTTTTTAATCTATAAAAAAGCCCTCCTTAATGTACATTGGTTCTCTTAACAGTCAGGTATATTATTCTGTAAAAAGCAGAATTAGTATGATGCAGAGGAATCTTTGTCTCTAAAAAAATGTAATTATTGCTATCAAGTTTGAACAATCTTCAGCAACTGAATTATTACTTGTCATAAGAAAATTTAGACTTTAATCCCTTCCATCCTTACCTGGAAGTAAGGGCTTGCTTCTGAATCAACATTATCTAGGATTGGACTGTTAATGATTGCTTTAAACCATTTACATTTATACAGCAAAAAAATCATAGATCAGTATTTTTATAAATCAATTTTAAAATATAGAAGGCAAAGATTTTTCTACATAAAAATAAAACTCCATGTCTACAGTGAAAAAAAGGACAATTACCCAGCAAAACTCTTTAAAACAATAGTACATTCACTCAAATTAGTGCTATTATGTAAGTAACTATTAGTTATTTACTTACACTCTGAATTGCAAAAATAATACCTTAATTATTTGAATATATTCTGAACAGCACGATATAAAATCTTTTTTAATAATTTTAGCTCTGCAACAAAGTAAATAATGGTTTTTCTTTATAGTTATGATTTAAGTTGCATGACAAAAAGAAAAAAGAAACTGAAATATACAGCTGGCTGTCATGCAAATAATAAAATTGTCTATTGAGGATGGAAAATGCTTTTTAAATCATGTGATGGCAAGGAACAAGGTCACCTGTTATACCAACAATAAAATAACATTTTATACAAAGCACTGACTCCTCAGAAAGGGCTTTATTACTAAGTGATTTTTTTTTCTATTAAAGATAACTAGGGCCTGATCCAAAGTCTATTCAAACATCCACACAAATAGTCCCCATTCATTTCAAAAGATGATGTATTTAATCCAGAACAAAAGTGCGACCAGAAAAAAATACAATACACATAAATCCACAATATCCTTTATTATATGGAGAAAAGGAATTTGTTTCTCAGCTGTCCAACCAAACAAATTTAACAGAGAATCTTCATAGACAAATTTAAATTTTCCAAATTATTTCTAGAAATTCCTTTGGGAAGTAAACTTATACTGTCATAATGTACAATTAAACAGCCACAAAATAGCCACTATTTTGCCAACATTTAGCATCCTTTATCTGTCTCACTGCCTTGCCAATACTGTATTTAGTCATATTGTCTTTCCATTATACCAAAGAGATATACTTGTTTTGAGATACTTGTTTTGATTATGATCCCCAAAATAAGAGATATACTTGTTTTGATTATGATCCCCAAAATACAACAAACTATAAGATATATTAACTAAATTAATCTCATTCTTCAAAACATTTAAAAAATACACATGTAAACACTATTTGGTCACCCTTGACCTCTATAATTTGTAGTCTGTATTTGGGAATCTGAATAAAAACAAGCCGGACCCTGGTATTTTAAAATGCATTAAAAGTATCCCCCAAGTATTTAATAGTGGATGTATTACTCAACATTTATGTCTTATACTGGCACTATAAAAGGAAAAGGTAATTTGAAGAAAGCAAAAGAAAGGGAAGTAGGATAGAAAACTTATCTTAATTTAAAAATTTAACAGAAAACCTAACAGATTTTGTATGAATTCTGCATTCCATGTGGGTATTGTAAGTTAGTTTATAAATAATATTATAAAAAGTTTACTTCACTTCTAAGAAGAGAAAGTAGAGTTGGAATCAATCTATAAAGTAATATAAAATAGTAGCCAACAATTTTTACCTATGAAGAGTTTAGTAAAGCAACAATCTAATGGCTACAGCAACTTATTCACTGCCACGCCTTCCGGTCTTTCTGCCACACCCATTAAAGTATATATCCTTCAGTAAGGGTAATGTGTGTATGCTTGTGATTTAAAATATTCCATTCAAGTAAAGGCATGTCCCTTTATTTAATGCTTTTGCTAAAATTTAATTGTATTTAAGAAGAAAAAGAAAAAGTAGTCTATATTTTAATAATCCTATTTACTTGGTGTGGCTCTTCCTGAAGCCACAGAGAATAAGAGAAATGGGGGGGGGGGAGAGATTCCTTGAGTTTTTTTTCTCCTTTGTAAATAAAAAAGCAGTTGGTGCTCCTAGGGCAAGACAGGATCATAGAAACGACCATGTATATATTATGTCATAGTTACAGATTGGCTATAACATCTCTACCCTTCATTTAAAAAAAACAAACAACTGTGCCTTTTTGAAAATGTCGCCTTGCAAAGGAATGCAAATTTACATTTTCCCACTCTGAAAGGACAACACGCTCTTCTGGAGAAACTCTCAGAAATCAAACCAAAAAAAAAAATATGGAAGGGGTGAAGGAAAAAAAAACACAATAGAGTAAGATGCTCGCAGTTAAACTGCCATCTGCAATAAATTTAAAAACAAGAGTCCCCGGTAAAGTGTATACATAAAATTTAACACCAATTAATCATTCAATGGCAACTATCCCAGCAAAATTAGTATGTAACTCGGCGAGGTTAGGACAGCAAATAAAGGGTTAAGTGGGAGGAAAAAGTAAAGGGGGGAGGGGAGAGAAAGCAACCCAGTTCGCCACTCAACGAGGGCCGGAGAATACCGAGCGCTACAATTCCCGAGTTTGGCGAACTTCGAGCGAGCGCGGGATCTGGCGCCGGAGGCAGCTGAACGCACCGAATCGGATTTCTTTTTTTTTTTCTTTTTCTTTTTTTTTTAAGTCGCCGGAGCTGAATCCACACTCCCTTCCCCCCCCCCACTCCTCAAACTGAAAGTAAAGGAATAAACATGGCGAAGTATAAACAAACCTCTCTCCTCCCTTAGCCGCCCCCGCCCCCTCCAGAGATCTGCGGAACGCACAAAAGTTTTGGAAAGTTTCTGGCCCTGCCATGGCCGAAGTAGGAAGGGACGGGCGGGACACGCAGGAGCCATTGGGGGCTTTGGGAAGAGGGGGAAAAAAAAGGGGGAAGGCAGGATCGTAGCAGGAAAAACCGGGAAAGGAAACAATTTTAAAAAAAAGAAAAAAAAGCCACTCACCGTTCTCGCCGTGGGCGAAAGGGATCCATTGGGGAGGTAAGGGCCGCTCAGGTCGGGAATCATTATAAAGGGATACCCAGGGTATGGTGGGCCCTTAAACAACCCTCCATCTTGCCTTTTCGCAGCTAACATGGCGGGGAAACGAGGAGCAAGAAGGAAAAATAAAAGGGAAGGGAAATCACAGTTAGAAATCGTTTCACACACACACACACACAAAATCAAACTAAAACTTAACGTACTTGAGTCTACAGAAAATGCAAGAGAATTTCACAGCCGCCTCCTCCCCCCCACCAAAGTGTGTGTGTGTGGGGGGGGAGAGACAGGGTGTCTGCAAAAGTGAACAGCAACTTACCTTCCTCCAAACTTTCTCTGGATTTATCTCTGAAACTTTCGGACCTAGGTGGAGGCCGCCTCTCCGCCTTAAAAAATCAAGAACGGGGTTTCGGGGGGGTGAGGGTGGGGGGGAATGATCATGATAACGAAACAAAAAAAGGGGGGGGGAAACAGCGAGGAGTGTGTAGGAGAGGTAAGGTTGGTGGGGGAGATACGGAAGAAAGAAAACGAGAACAAGTTAAAAAGTTTGTGCAAAACATAAGGCAAAACATACGGCAGCAGGGCAATTTACGACGGGGGGGGGATACCAAGTTAGTCGTGTTCTGCCTGCCGCCCCCCCCCCTTTTTCCTACTTTACCCCATCTCTTCTCCGACAATCCTCCCGCCAAAGTTGAGCGAGGCAGGTGTGTTTCCAAGGGGGGAACGTTTCTTACCTCCGAGTCGGAGGAGCTGTTTTGATTAGTTTCTGATTCATTGACCAGAGACGACTTGACGTCCGCTAAATCCCTCTCTGCCGAAGAGTTCTCCGAGATCTTCTCTTCTTGCTCCCCTTCGTCTTTAAAAGAGATCAGTTCGTCGTTCGCCCCCAAATCGTCCCCTCCACCGCCATTGAGTTGCGGCATTTTCTTCCTGCCTTACCCCCCACCAGCAGCAATTTTGCAAAGGACGGAACGAGGGAGAGGCAAAAAAAAAAAAAAAAAAAAAAAAAACAAGGAAAGAAAAAAGGGGGAAGGATATTTTTTCTTTAAAAAAAAAAAAAAAACGAGACGGAAAGAAAAGGGAGAAGTTTGTAATTTTAAGAAGAGTCCCAGGTGAAAGTTCTTTTCTCTTTTTCTTTCCTCTTGGGGAGGGGAACAGAGGGGGAGGAGGAGGAGGAGGAGGAGGAGAAGGAGGGGAGGGCAGTGTCCCTGCTCCTTTCTTTTTGCACCAGTGACTGACTTTGGGTTTCTTCTTTTCCTTCTTCTGGATTCTCTCTCTCTCTTTCTCTCTCTCTCTCTCTCTCTCTCTTCTTCCGATGATCAGATCAGCATGTAAAAAGACACGCGGGCAGAGATACAAAAAAATTAATAAGAAAAAAAAAATTATATAACGAGGGAGGGTTAAAACGGGGGAGGGGAATTACTTAAAAAAAAAATGGTAGCAAACAAACCAAACAAATCAGCTGTAAAAATGGGACGGGGGGGGGTGGGTTAGAAGCTGCAGATATAGGAAGCCTGTGCCGGTCGGATTTGAGTGAGTTGAAGTTAGACTGAGAGCTTTTCAGTTCAAAGGCGGCGCTGATTGACAGGTAGAAAAAGGGGGATCGAAATCCGGAGGAACGGAGAAGTCTGGGATCCAGGATTATTGACAGGGAGAAAGAAACGCTGGGCACTTAATGAGATGCAGGAGGGGCGGGGGCTCCCTTGTGACGTGTGCATAAATAAACAGGAGGAGGGGGTTACGGAGAAACTAACAATGATCCCTTTTGGAGAGAGCGGGAGGGGTGGGGGGGGGTGCGCGACGAAGGCAGGCCGGCAGGCAGGCCGGCCAGCAGGCAGGGGGCGAAGAGGCGAACGGAGACAATGCAGGTATAGGCGAGGAGGCGAACCTGTCAGTTCTAACCCAGCGGGCCCAAAGCGAACAAAACTCGGGTGCCTCAAACAAATTAGGGAAGGGGCAAGGCATGCGCTCCAGTCGTGCGGTTTGCACAACTGTCAAGGCACGGAAAGCCTCTCCTCCGCGCCTTCGCGCTCGCACTTGGGTTGCGCACTCAACTTTCCGGCGCGGTGTAGTGAAATTTTTAAGAGTTGCAGCCCGATGCACTTTTACCAGGAAGTGATTTCCGTCCTCTGGGACTTCTTTCCGAATAAACACGCACGGGCTTGTGCTCCGGTCATTTCGCCTTTTATTTTTTTTATTTGGGGGGGGGGGTGGCGGGTGTTGTTGTTAGTGGGGTGTGTGCTCTTTTTAACGGCTGCACAACGGTTGTTCGTTCTTAATCTGCGGCCAGAAAAGAGTGCTCCTAGACCTAGACTTATTCTTCCCCCCCCCCATTTTATCGCTGAAAGGTTGGGGTGCGGCTTTCAAATAGTTTGTTTTTATCGGATTTAAAAGAGTTCGGGGGGGCGGGCGGGGGGGGGACTCCTGGCGCTCGAGTCCCGCACAAACCTGCAAATCTTAGCTCGAAAAGAAGCCCCGCGGTGGATTTTTTTCCCAGGAATGTCTCTGGGACTCGAGTCCGCCGCGCGTTTCCTCGGAAAGTGAGTTCCACGGGGTTTACTCCTGAGTAAGCGCCCAAGCCCGTACCTTAAGAGTCCGCAGGCAAAGTGCACCAAGTCTGCCTTTCGAGGAACAGACGCCAAAGACCAAAACCCAGGGGAAAGGGCTTTTTTTTTTTAATTCACCCTTTTTCCTTTTCTTGGGATAGTTTGACAACAGTACATTGGGTAGGAAGAGGATGAATGGATAGGACTAGTTAATTGTCCCGCGGAAGAGTCGAAGACTCTTGAGACTTTTTTTTAGACAGAAATGCCAACTTCTTTTCTTTCTCTTCTGCCACTGCAGTTTTCCATCTGCTTCCCGCCATCAGAAAAACTCCAACCGAAGCCCAGAAGGGTTCTTCAGAAGAAACACTGCTGCGTGTGTGCGTCCGTGCGTGTGTGTGTGTGTGATCCAACTGTGTGGTCCCCATAGCTGGCTAGTAAATGAATGGCCAAATATAGATTATTGGGGGTGGGAACGGAGGCTGGGTCGTGTAGAGCTGAGGAATGTGCAACATTTACATACTCTTCTGCAGTTAGTGATCAGCTTAAACTGGGGGGGGGGGGGGGGAAGAGAAGCCACAGCAGCAGCAGCAGACGAACGTGGCTGCTAAAAATGACATCTGGCACCCGATTCTACTCTGTTGATGAGTGGAGTAAAACAAATTGATCTTCCAGAGTGACAAATTGTAACAATGGAGGAGTCAAATGGAAACTTTAACATGACCAAGGAACAAAAGTAGCAATGGGAGAGAGGGAGGCGAGAGGAAAAGACACACACTGAGTATGTTCAAGGGGAATTAGTAAATTGCCTAATAGAAATAGTGTCAAGCAAAGGAGGGGCTGTTTAAACAAACAAGCATTTTCCAAAACGCATATAGCTTGCTGCTCCTAAGATTTCCAAAACAAAGCTGATGATAGCTCGTGCAATATTTAGAGAGTTTAGAAGGGAAACACTTTAGTAAACTGTCTGTTCTGGGAAAGAACAATAAAAAAATAATGCAGAGATTGACAAAGCTATACTACCACTAAGCCACTATCCAAAATCACAGTTATTTGTACTTTAAAGAAAATTTCAGGCAATGGTTTTTGTTTTGGTTTTTTTTTTTTAAATTGCAACTTAAGGAAAACAAGAGAGGAGGGACATAAAAAGAGGTAAAACAAATGTGTATGTTTAATCAGACTGGATTGCATAGGACACAAAGAAAAGGGCTAATTATACTCTCAGCAGGTAGGAACTAACCTTCAGACTTCATAAATAAGTAAATGTCTAAGTGGGAAGATGGAGACAGAAAAGGATTACTGAAGACATCCCCCACCCACCCACCCCCAAAAAAGGAGGAGGAGGAGAAGAAAATACTTCTCTACATATAGATTTAAGAATTTCTTCTCCTTTTTTCCCTTTCAGACATTATGAAAAATAACTGCTACAGGACAGCAATTTTTCCTGATCAACAACATTTTCCTAATAAGCTTATTATTATACATTTTCCTTATTAAAAAAAGATTGAAAATTATTTTATGGAATTATGAATTCTAGCCAAGAAAGTGAAGTCTTTTATTATTTGAAATATTTGAATTTGTCAATGGCTGGAGGTTTAGATCCAGCCACCAGAAAAGTGAACAGGTCGAAATTCATAAGAACAGGTACAGATGGTCAAATAAGCAGTAATAATTTAGAACAACCTCCAATCACACAAACATGCTGATCATCAATTATCCCATGAGATTCCAATGACATATTAAAATGATTCCCGTAAAAAAAAATGCAATATCTTGTATGGATGGCCAAAATACCATAACATTTCCACAAGGTATAAGCCAATCTTTTTAACTTACTTTACATTTGAGCAGACATTTGTAACTGTCTTGTGCTTTTCAGGAAAGACAGCTTTGAATCTGATACCTATTTAAAGCATTAAATTTATGTATATTTATTGAGGAAGAAAGCCTGGTTGATCTTTATTGGGCTAAGTTTGGAGTTGTTACAGAATTACACCATAATTTAAACTGTTTGCTTTGAGAGTTTTAAAATATGGTGTTCTCAGTGATTTCAGTGTGATTGTGATTTCAAAGTTTTGCACCACTGTAAAGATCATAAATTCCAATATATAAAGGGTCCTACCAAAAATCTTCAGGGGCCTCTCTCTTCCTTTATTAGATATCTTCCACTCTTAGTCAACTTGTAGCAGCCATTCCTTCAGCCTGCATGATTGGGAAGAAGACAAACCCACTTCACAAGTTTGTTGTGATATTGTCACTTTGCATACAGGTTTTGTGTAAGAACTGGTATATATTTTGTCTTATTCTTTCTTTCCTTTCTTTACTTCATTTTGTGTCATGTCTTTTAGACTAAGCCTGAAAAAAGGAATTCTTTGACTGTTATTGATTTATAAGTCACAAAGGAATCTTCTTTCAGCAAGCTTTAAATATAAATAACATATTTAGATTGGAACCAAAGGAAATTCTTATAATGGAAAAAAAATGTGAAGAGTAGTGATGTTCCAGATTCTTTAATGGGATCAGTACTTGGAATTTGTTTATAAGTGATTTGTGGCTAAATACATTAATAATTTAAAATTTAAATTTAAAATAAAACTGATGTAATAGGAGTAATCCAATGAAGTTGAATGTGGAAATTCCATAGTAAACAAATACACATTCATTTATGCTATTCATGTTGCATTTGAACTTATATCTGGTTGATTATTTTCAAGGCAGAAGGCAGAATTAGAGTGGACTGATTCAGCAGGACACATTATTAAGTCCATCAAGATTTGATCCCATTGAAATCTGAGGGACTGTTTAATGATTTAAGTTGCACTGATTTGAATGAGAATACGGATAGCTAATGTCATATGGCTTGGCCATTGGTTCTTGCTAAGATTCCCTAAGTTGCCTACTTCTTTTATTTATGCCATTATAGATTATTATTAATTAATTGCCTTATAGTATCATTAAATAAACATTTATTTATATATTTAAAAATTCAGAATGGTCTGAAAATTTCTCTAAGTCCATATTTACTTAGGTCTGTTATTGGATAATAGTAAGTAAATACAGTAAATAAGCAATAAGTAAATGCAGATGAAATATGGTAAAAGCATCAGCAGTTGTTTTATGACACAGGTATCAAATTCACCGCATCACGTGACGTGTAGCAAGGAATCGGAGCTGGGGTGGGCGCAACATCTGTATGATGCAATCAGCCCGTTGGCCAGCAGTTTGACACCCCTGTTTTATGATGTGAGATCTTGTGATAGAAAGAAACTTTAAGAAAAGTTCATAACCAGGTTTTCATAATATAAGCAACTAAACAATATAGAATTTAATGTTTAAACAAATGTATATGGTATGTATGTCCACCAAAGTTGGATGATAAATACTGGGGCATTTGGAGTAATTTCTGGATAACCCATGTAGGAGATGACCAACTGAGCCTGA